AGAGTTTGATGGTTCGTATTTCAGATCATATTTTAGAGGGATGGCGTCGGGGGTCGGGAAGTCGAGTGGCTGGTGCGGGCGGGGGCCGGGGGAGGGGTCGGAGGGAGCAGGGGAGGGATAGTCGTGCTCGTACATGGCTGGGTAGAACCAGGACTGCTGGTCTGGGAGGAAGCGGGCGCCGGGGCTAGCGAGGCATCTGCCCGAGTCAAAGCACTGAGCGGGGTCCATTTTTTGCAGGGGCTCTCAACGCGAACTCACCAGCTTATATCCACAGCCAAAACGCTCATGGGAGATCCAGGTCAACCTCTAATCCCATCAACTTCCGCTTTCGGCCACTCCCCGATCCGGCCACTCTCTTGTTTATCCTTGTTCTCCCCTCCCATTCATCGCCGCCGCTTGTAAATTCCGTTCCTCGTCGTCATCCACAACCTCCTTGACACCGTTGCGCCTGGCTGAAACGCCCCGCCCACTACCCGCTTTATTCTCTTTTTGGCGGAATATCCTCCCTCTTTCTTTTCGCTCTCCGGCCTACTGTTCGACCCCCACCGGCACCAATATTAGCAGATACAATTCGCTCGTGCCCCCTGCATATCCACACGCGATTCCAGCCTGGCACTCTTCGACTTCTTTCCCAAATATCATTTCATCCCTCCAACCTTGTCGTTCCTGATCGTGCTCCCTAGATCTCACAACACCCGCCACCCTACCTTCTGCCCATCCGCACATTCACCCTCGAAAGATACAGATCATCCCCACTCTAATCGCTGGGAAACACCTCCCATACCCGTTCCTCGGAAATGAATGTCTCATGTTCCCAAGTCTGCCACAGTACACGCCTATCATCCCATAAAAACTCCTGCCCTCTACCGGGACCAACGGGACGTCACGAGGACTCCAGTCTCTATGCCCTCTATCCCCATTCGTTTCCATTCTACCCCAACTATCTCTTTCTAACCATACTTTTCCTCCAGAAATTATCGATAACACCCTCGGCCTCCTGCGCCTTTGCATCGAACTAGTTTCGCGACTCAGGCCCCCATGCATCTGCATATCTGACCTGCACCCGTAGACCCAGCCTCGTCTTCTGTCTTCTGCTTCTTGTCTGTCTTCGGTTCCGTTTCCGACAGGACGCCTTCTTCTCTCATATGCCTCTTCTCTCATATGCCATCACAAGTTAACCCCACTCTTTTCGATCGGCATTGCCATCGATGCACCATCCAACAGCCCCCGTCTTGCCTCATCCGACCGTCCTCCCCAAGTTTATTCGACACCCTCTCCTCCTCTTACCGTGCTGGGCAACTCTCGCCTATCGTCATCATCTGAGCTCATCAGAACGCACCCATTGGCCCCACGTATCTTAATGCCAGATTGCCAGATACTCTACTCTACTCTGTTAAGGTTAGGATCGGGCAGCCCATGACAATGTGTATATTGAATTTTCGAAGCGCCCCCAAAATGTGTTTGCGTTCGCGTTGTGTCCCCATGGCCCAGCTGTCTATCCCTATCCCGAAGCAGACATTACTATGTTGAGTTGAGCTGAGACGGGTTTCTCTCGCTGCCCGTGTTCTTTTTGGAACAAGATAGAAGAATTCTTCTCCCTCGCCTGGTTTTGGTTTGGGACGGGCCACCAGACTGTCAGACAGAGACAGACAGCTTCTATCCGACAGGCTTCCTTCGTCTATCGCTCAACCTCGTCAGTCCGTCTGGGCTGCTGGGGCTCTGCTGTGGCAACCTTGCATTGGTTCTGGCTCTGGGTTCTGGGTCCTGTCCTAAGATATTGCTCATTCGATTCGTTGGGGTGCATTACATACCCATTCTCCTTCCTCAGAACTCGAAGCTGGAAGCTCCAAGGCCCACCTTCGTACGACCTACGCGGGTCTTCGAAATGGATCCTGCCAAACTTCAATGTTATGCTGTCAGCTGTGCTACCCAACAACACAACCACTGAGTCAACCTAGCCACCCACCCAACAACCCAGCACGCTGGCCAGCCAGCGCGCGAGCGCAGGCGAGCATCGTTACCCTACCGTACCCTACCCACTTAAACCCTTAATGAAAGCCTGACGATCCCTAGCCTAAGCCATTGGCCATGGCATCGCAGATTGCGCGGCGGCCTCGTGCCCTCGCCTGCCTTCCCTTCCCAAGTTCCTTCGTGTCTCCAGGCGAATTTACCTGTGTATCTATCCAAAAACACACACACATGGACATATCCAGCCTGCCTGCCCGGGTGAGATGAACTAGATGACGATCAGGGATCAGGGATCATGATAATCGCCCTCCCGTCATCTCGTCTTCGGGTTCATCTGCGTTTGCCGTGCTAGGACTGAGATCCCATCCCCGACTTCACAAGTTGACGCCCCTTTCGCTCCCCTCCAATGGGTATTCATGGTGCTCGGGGAGTAAAAGTATATGGGCAGGTGGCGTGTAGGGTCCATAGTTCGCGGAGTCAGAAACGAGGGTGCTAGTGCAGTTGCAGTTGCAGTGTTCGCGGAGTCAGGAGTGGACGGCGTCGCGGATGGACGGACGAGATGAGGCTCCAGGCCGGGTGCACGACGCAAGAGTACGACCACGCCACACCCAAACGTGGGTCCATGTATCGACGTATCTATGTACATGTCGTTATTTCTATTCTATTATATTCTTCAGAATCTTCGACGTCGCAATCGACGCGAAGGGAGGATGTCGAAATCGAACTACGTACTCTAGATAGAATGTTCTTTCTGATCCATGATCTCGACTCGGAGGGGTGGGTGGCAGGGGCCGCGAGGCCGTTTTGCGGTTGCAGATGCAGCTGCGGGAATGTATTGGTGTTGAGAGCGCGTTGATGAGACCTTATCCTCGCCCATCTCCCATCGCTGCTATATGTGGCAGCGCTGGAACTTGGCATCGATAGAACTTGGATTGCAATTGGCGTCGATTATTATTCCGCCCTCTTATCTTCGTCGTCGTTCTCCCAATTGGCTGAGTTACAGTGCTATTCTACATGCCACAGCCGAGTGGATGGAGTGCATTGAATAAGGCTATAGTATGCTATGTATGTACAACTTTACTATTAACCAATTATTACTTGCAGATACGAGACGAACGACGATCACCGTCTCAAAAGCCAAATTCCGAAATTCGGATTCCTTCTTGAAGCTTGAAGCCTCCTTCTCAGTCTCACAGCAATTAGCAGTCACCAACCCAGCCACCCACAAGCCCTTGGTGGCGCCGGTACTGGCACGCACTGCGTCGGGACGGTCGGACCCACAGCGTATTCCGACCTCGCGTTTTCGAATGCGGGCCTCAGCCGAGCGCTCAGATTGAGCGAGCTCGTCGAAGTTTCGACTTCGAACGAATCCTGATGCCAAAGTCTGTCTGTACTGTTTAACCCGCGACGTGCTCTCCCACTGGTCGTACACGTGCGGCCTGGACCGGACCCTCGACTCGGACATCAAGTAGTAAGTCGTACTGGCGGGACAGAACCTAACGCCTCGTTGCGTCGCAGTCGCAGCGATCACGACGCTTCCATATTATAGCACTCTACTCCTCTCCTCTCTGCTGGATACGTATAGTTATAGTATAGCATGCTGATGATGCTCGTATCAGAACAGGTAATATTAAATATTAGGTAGTAGTAGGTTGGGACACGGGCTTTGCAGGGCATATTGTATAAAACCCACGTGAGTTCATTTCCCATATCCACCCACTCCCATGGTTGGTTTGAGGAATTCGAGGTAGAACGGTACCCCCCCTTGGAAATGGGACTCATGATTAAGGGTCCACCGGGAGAGGAAGGGTTTTGGGGACACGCCTGCTATATCAGCGAGTTCATCGATGGATCTGTCGGCGGAAGTGGAATGAACGGTATCTCGCCTCTGATCTCGTGTTATTCTGGGATTAGCAGGGCCGGTGAGAGACGGGTACGTACGATAC